AAATGAAAAAGCTTCCTAGCAGTAGAAGTGAAAGATGGCAGCACTGCATGTCTACTGACATTGCTTGTTAAATGCTATAGAATAAGGCCCTGTTGACTTCAGTCCCAACAGCAGTCTCTAGAGGAAAAGATGGCACATGGCTGTTACGGTTTGCATCTTAAACGTCTTCCTTAAAGGTCTCTGTGCTAAAGACTTGGATTCCAGCTTGAGGTGATGTTGGGAGGTAGCCAAACCTTTAGGAGGTGGACCCTAGCTGGAAGAAGTTAGGTCCCCACGGGACTTTGGGACCCCAGTTCCTTTTGCTTCTCCCCTTCCTTGTTGCTGACCACCATAAGGTGAGAAGCCTTATGTGCCACGTGCTTCTGCCATGATGTCCTGTTTAGCCGCATGCCCAAGGCAACAGGGCCACGTGACCATGGACTGACTCATTTGAAAAGCCAAACTGAACCTGCAAGGTTGATTATCTTGGGTATTTGGTCACAGCAACGAAAAGCTAGTTAACACAAAAGTCATGTTACAATGAAAGAATAGCATTGGCCAAAGAGAATTAGGCATGCTTTTAGGTAACTCTATGCTTATGCCAGACCCCAGTTTTGAACTAACTGGAAGTTAAAAGAATGGCATGGTCACCAAGTACAACACCAAAATTTCACTTTGAAATGATCTCTCCGAGACCCATTGTATAAGAGCTAGTTGTAGTATCTTTATCTTGTGGCAGGTAAAAGAGCTGAGAAACTGCTCCTCATGAGTCATCACAGCACAGATAACAGCTAATACCGATTCATATGGGCCCCTTCACTTCCTTCAAAGCCCTGGAGTTTGCTACCATTCCTACCAGTCAACCAAATATAGCAAACTGGTTCTCAGTGCTGTGAAAAAGCTGCCATTCTTATGATCAAAAAGTGGGTGTTACCACTCCGCTCCTGCCTTCTGCACACCTCCAGATAGCCTCTGCTATACTTTGCTTGTCCACAGTTTCCTTGGGTTCTAGTCTTCTGTGATCTTGCCTAGCTAGAAGCCCTGGAGAAGCAGGTGTAGAACTCACCCACCTGCAACCCCCAATAATGGTTCTATCCTACTCACTGAAGTCTAGATTTGCCAGTTAGCAAACAACTGTCACCAAGACAAACATAAAATAGACCTTTCAAAAATTAAACTTAGATTTTTTTCCTTATGTGCATTTCCAAGGCCCGCTGGGAACCATACAGTGTTGTAATTTCCTGAGAAAAGGCCTCATCTACAGAAATTAGGTCTTCAGGACTCCAGTGGCTTTTCAGTACAGTCACTGTGATTTGTTCTGTATTGCGCTCTCTGCAGCCACAGCTACAGGGTCTTGGTCTAAAACAACAGGCAGGTTGGAGTAACAGTAACTTTGTGCAGTGTCCATGTGGAGATGGTCTACAGACACTTGGCTGCAAAATGTTCTTGCGCCCTTTCTATGGTGTCTCCAAAGTCTTGTTGGGCTTTACTCTCCTGATCCACTGGCAATGCTGGGATAGGTGATCATCTATCTGATGTTAAATGCTTTGCAAATCTTACATCCTTTAGGACATTTTTCCATCTGTGTATATGGATGATGTCTTGATTTCCCTGTCTCTATTAGTTATGCTCCCCTCCCAGTGTATCTATACAAAATTTTCTAGATCCAACCAAGTATAATGGGAAATAAAGGAAGAAAAAAATCCTCCACAAAGTTTCAGTTCATCTCTATAAGTAAGGTAACTGTTTATTATGATATGTTGGTCATTCAAGACCAGTATTGGGGCCAGAAAGAATGGCTGTCATCAAGAAGTCAACCGATATCATGTGGAATTCAGTTGTCATCATTATAAATTTTGCCAGTGAGTCAGATCAATAACCAAGAGAATAAACTGTTAAGAGTTACACAAGAATGTCAAGATCTTTTTAGTGGTTTTCCAAAATGAGGTACATTAATCATTAATGCTGTATAAAACGAATAGTAGTGGAACCCAAATGCGTATTTTTAATGTTAATGATTGTATATTTTTAGTGAGTATTACAAAAATGTAACTACTGCACAGAATCTGATTTTTCCTCGGCAGTTACAGTTAGGATGAAGCCAAAGTAGGTATTCACTTATGCTGGGCAACCTCACTATTTTCCCTGCCTTTCCCATGCCCATAAGTCATGTTCACGTACTTCACATATGACGGGTATTCCTGAAGAAGCTCACTGTGAAAGACGACATGCTGTATGATTTCGTTTATATAAAATTCTAGGAAAGGCAAAACTACTGTGAGGGAGAATAAATCAGTAAGCATCAGAGGCTGAGTTTAGGGGAAGCAAATTGACTGGAAATGGCTATGATGAGACTTTTGGGGGGTGATGGAAATGTAATTATACAATTGTATATCTGTCAACATTCATTGAATTGTACAGTTAAAGTTACTGAATTATACATAAATTCTATCTCAATAAAACTGAACTAAAAAGATCTTTCTTTTTGAAATAATGTTAAATTTTGCACTCTTTTCTTGTTTTCTTATGTTTCCTTTTGCTCATTTTTGTTTGTTTGTTTCCATC